GAACCGCGCAAAGCGCATCCACAAGGAGAACGAGGCAAAGAAGGGCAATGCGGCTACCGGATCGACTGCGGAAGAGAGCGGCATCCACCCCAGTCGCCTGGCCATGCTTTCTTGACCTTCCTTCACCCTGAGGCTATGAGGGAAAAACTTGGACGACTTGCACATTGGCATTTTCAAGCCGGGTTGGCGTTATGGATGGAATACACTTGCTGTGTTTGTTTCAAGATGATGCGTTGGGTTGCTCCTGAAAATACCTTCAATGAAGACGTCACCATATATGCAGAAGATGATGTTTGAATATTCTCAATAGCAGTTGAGAAAGAAAAAAAAGATATACCTAGTGACCCCCGCCCTCCCTCCTGCCATTTATATGTTCTTTGTACGAATCAAAGACACAGACGCATGCTATCTACAGAAAACTAACGTGACTTGGGATATCCTTCGTGTCATGCCCGGCCTGCCGTCCGTTGGCTCGTTGCGCCATTCCCTGGCCTCTTCAGCCTTCTTTGACTCTCAGTATCGCGAGAGGTTGTCTCCGACCTCCCACTACCATGCCAATACGAACAAAAGAGGGGCTTCGCCTCGTATCAGTGCTGTATCCCCTCCCACACGCCATCACTGTGTCATCTGTCTTTCGTGCTGTGCCCGGTGCCAGCCAGATCGTCCCCTTTGGTTATGAATTATGTATGATGAGCTTGCGTAACCCTTGCTCGGTGCGGACCAGGATGATGCGGAACATCACTATACGCAGGCGAACAGCAAGCCCTCAAGGTGCGTCCACGTTCAGACACCGTCGACGATGTGGCCCATTTACAGAATCGAACAAGACTTGCTCTTCTTCTTGTTCTGCATCTGGGGGCGGGGATTCAAGACGGCACTGGGATCCGAGTTAGCAAGTTGTCGCAATGCCAGAGTCGAGGCGCATTGAAATACCGGATAGCCTCGTCAAAGACGCTCTTGAGGTTCCTCTGCGTGAGCGCGGAGCACTCGAGGTACTTGTGCGCCCTGATTTCCTTAGCACACACCAGGGCCTGGTCGTAGGAGACCGGCTCCATGCGCTTCTGGCGCAGCGACTCGAGGGTGCCGTGGTCCTCCCGAAGATCGAGCTTAGTGCCGACGAGGATAATGGGAATGTTTGGTGCGTGATGGTCAATCTCGGGGTACCACTGCATGCGCAGTCAGCACACAAAATTCGCAGCTTTGTCTACGGGGATCGTGTAACCCTACCTTGGCCTTGACGTTGTCGAATGACGGCGGGCTGACGATGGAGAAGCAGATGAGGAAGACGTCAGTCTGGGGGTAAGAGAGAGGTCGCAGCCTGTCATAATCCTCTTGACCGGCAGTATCCCACAGTCCCAAGCTGATTGGCTTGCCGTCCACCATAACACTAGCAGAGTAGTTGTCAAAGCTGCCATCTCAACGTCAGCAATCGCGTTCAGCAGAAGACTACCGGTGGCACACGGAGACTGACACTGTGGGAATGTATTCACCAGGGAAAGCATTCGTTGTGTAGGAGATGAGCAAGCAAGTCTATTCTCGCAAGTCAGTGGATTGGCGCACCATGATGAACAAGTCGGGTTGGCTTACCTTTCCGACAGCACCGTCGCCGGTCACGACGCACTACAAAGGCATTCAACGTCAGCTGGTGAATCAAACACACAAGGAGGCCCCCCTGATGGAGTGATGATGCAAGGCCAAGACTGACCTTCAAAGACTGAACACCTGGTTGAGCCATGTCGTTAAATCTATTGGTTGGTAGATGTAGAATAGCAGCTGTTGAGAGTGGTTGGATAGGATCGTGATGGCTGAGAGCGGTCGCAATGCCAGGCAAATTTCGAAATGGGTATCGTGAGGGGGTTGGGCAATAGTCGGACCAAGGGTGACGAACGCAGCACTCGGTAACGGTATGGGTCGGGAAGAGTGGGTGATGGTCGAGGGAGGTTGGCAGCTATGTCGAAGGGTTCGGGGTAGCTTTGATCGATGGCTGCATGAAGGTTAGAGAGTCGGAGGTGTTTGGGGTCGCGGAAGAAGATGATGCCGCGGGCAGAAGCAGCAGTACAGGCGGAACAGAAGTAGAGTTGGGGAGAAGCACGGTGGTGGACAGGGCTGGATGACATGGACGTATTATCAGGAAACTCCCGCCCGACTGCCTGGGCGAAGTGTGGAGGGCGGTCTGTTTAGAGACCCCTGCTGCGACTTCGGCGGACGCTGAGCCGGGCAATTGGTGGGCAAGGACCTGGACCAGGTGTTGTGCTGGGGGGTGGGTGGCCTGTGAGCGAGAGCCTGGAACGTGGGAGGGTGCTGGGGGGGGGGGGGTTCAGACGTGTTGGAAAGAGGAAGGGATGCCGAACAAGTTTGTCCGCTGCAGCGGCCAAGGCCAAAGTGCGAAGCTACGACCAGAGCAAAGCGCTGTGGTTTCGAGTGGCTACCTAGACAGGTGTACCGATATCGATATCGATCACAGGTGAAAGGGGGGCGGTAGGCGGAAGGGAGGGATAGCGACCCCTGACCAACGAGTCGCCAATCATGAACACCACATGATGGGAATGAGGACCGATGGCATGAATTGGGACGACCAACGACAGAAATAAGGAGAATGGGACAACCGGTCGATAGGTGTCCAGAGAAGGCTGGGGGATGTCTGAGGGGTGTGATAGGGGAAGAGTCAACTCACGATATCAACGCACGCGATTGTCGCGTCGTGATTTGCGATTGGTGTCCTGTCAGCGAATGCGGTGCCACGAGGAGAGCTGTCTCGTAGTGATCGGTTGAAAGGCGACAGTTGAGAAGCTCCAGCTCCAGGATTGGTGATGGAACAGCGAGGGTGGGCGACGGTACTTTCAGGAGATGAGGGAAACTGGACTGAGGCGACAACAGAATCGGATACAGATTAAAAAAAAAGGGCCCTGTCACAGCAACAGCGGTAACGAGATGGGGTTTGTGGCCTGCTAGTGGTGTGGTGTGATGGTGGTGTGGCACGGCGGGCGAGACGAGTGGGTGGGATCCCAGCCTCTGGTCTTGGTTCTTGGGTCCAGGTTGGACGTGGTTTGAAGATGCAAGGCGCCCTCATCTTCATGGCCTTGAAGCATAGCGCCCCCTCACACCCAATCACTGCTTCTTTACAGGAGGGTCGCGCTAGCAGACCACCAGGAGTCAGGGACGATAGTGGGGGATTCAGGTGAACAAAGGGGGCCTAGCACCGACACTAGCAATAACAGCATGTACACTGCATCCTGCTGGCGACCTGTTAAAGGAGGCCAGAGTGGTGGCCCGAGCTCAGTGGATCGTGCACTCGGGCCTCCCCGGCTCCCCTCTTCTTCATTGCTCCTCGCTCTGGCTTTGTACCATGTGTCTACCTAGCAACTAGGTACCTACCTAGGTAAGGTGGTAGGTAGGTAGGTAGGCAAGCAAGGCAGGGACAGACTCGAGGGCTTCTTGCCTGGTGTTCCTCATGTCTCTCCCCCACCTGCTGCACATTCCCTCGCCACGAGTCACACCCTGCGCTACCTTACTAGGTAGTCAGTAGTCGGCGGCCTTTGCGACCTCGCCTTGTGCATCTTCGCCTGTCAATAGAAAGCTCCGGCCGCCGAGGTCTCGGGCTCAAGCGCCACTTGACGCACGTCTTGTATCACAGCCAGCTCTGGTCTCCTGGGCTCCATAGGACTTCGTCATGGAATGCTTGAGGAATGTTTCGGCCGAACCATTGCTCTAACCCTTCCACAGAGGCCCGCCCCCTCCTCAAGCTCGGTCCTTGATTCGTCTCTCGTCGCACAGATACCCAGTCTATCACGGCGGGTATCGACCGCCTTCACATGGTCGCCGCATGTCAGCAGCAGTCGATCAGTGGACAAGCGTACACGATTGGGGGGAGAGTGTGCTTGAACGCTTGAAATGACAACTCCTATCCCGTCTCCGCAGTACCAAAGCGCTCCATCATTCAACATGTGCGGGGACAGCACAGTCGAGTCCACGCAGCCCACTCGTGGGACATATTTCTTTTCGAAAAGCCGCCGCTGACTATGGGTCATTTCATGTGACAGAACCGTGGGCTTTTGGCCTTATGCCCTGCCACGACCGGGAACGAGCTAGCGAGCTGAATCGAAACATTCTCCTCACTCCGGGAACCCCTTGCCAAGGCGATGATCGCGCAGACGGAGACTGTTGTCAGTGACATGTTACCTCTTACGTTTCTTCCGTCTGCTCCGAGGCGTACATCCCCTTTGTCTTCATGAGTGCAACACCATTACAAGATTCGAAAACTTTGGCAGTTGGCACAAAAAGAAAAAAAAAACGCAATTGGGTTTGTTCTCGAGCCCGATGGCCGCGTTAAAGTTCTGCCGCTGACAATGAAGATACATTCCAACACAGCGTCAAATTGTTGACCAGCGTCCTGCGTGTCACAACGACACTTGCAATTACTGGAATATCTTAGCATACGAGCCTCACTCACCCAGGCGTGCTTGCGAGAGCTCAAGCCACTGGGACACCACGTCAGTGATGACATGTTCGAAGCTCTGAAACTTGAGACCAAGGACACGCTCCGTCTTGCTTGCATCGATCGCGATCCTGGCAGACTCTTGAGTACCATCCATGTTGAAGATGCCTTTGTCAAAGACAGATGGGAAAGCCCTCTGTGCGATCACCTTGGTGTCTTCCCACGCCATGTCTGATGATAGAATGAATGACTGGTTACCCGATACTTGAGGATCGAGTGCGAGGATATGTGCTTTTGCAACATCTTCGATCCCGATGAAACTTCCGCAGATTGGTGTGTCATTACGTTGACCCCGGAGCAAATCGATCATGACGCCGCTCGAGCCTTTGGTGAGCTCATCTGCCGTGCCAGCAAGCTCATGACGACCCCAGACACACGCTGGCAAGATGGAGACAAGGTCGAAGGGTGGTCGGAAGTGTCGCACCCAGCTCTCAGACGCGTTCAATGCTGCGATTTTACTAGCAGCGTGCGGGCCGGACCCTGAAGCGAACGGTGCAGAGGGCATGGGCAATCGGCTCTCGGCATCAAACGCCGGGCCGGTCAGCCCTCCCTGGCCCTTGAAGTAGGCATGCGGTATGATGGCAGTGAGCGAGCTCGTGAACACGATTCGGCGCACCGTGCTTGGGTTCAGCTTGTAAGCGCTCTGAAGCAACCAGCACATGCTGTTGATGGCCGTCTGAACCTGCCACTCGTCGCTATTGGTAGGCGCCGACCCTCTCACATTGGTATTGGACGCCGGTGACGCGCAGTGGATGATGTACTTGACCCCTTTGACGGCTGCATCAAAGGCTCCGGGTACTGCCATGTCAGGGACAAAGGCCCAGTACAGTTGATGCTCGCTCGGCCTCAGAGCTCTGATGCTCGGTGTCGAAAGGATGACTTTGATGGCTTGGCTACTGCGAATAGCGCACCGAACGGCATAACCCGCTTTCAGAGCCTCAACCAAGACTCTGAATCCAATGAAACCGGTTGCGCCCGTGAGCAGAATCAGGTTTCTGTTGGTGGTCATTGTGGTTGTGAGGTCGGATCAAGGCCAGTCGTCAGGTAGGGGGTGACGTGCCTGTGTCAGTGTTATGCCGGAGCATCTTGCAGTCGGTAGTGATGTGGTTGAGACAGTACTCACATCGCTGTGCTTCAAACGATCGCTGGAGAAGACCGAAATGCCTTTCCTAGATCAAGAGTACAGGCACTGCTTATAGCTACCATCGCGTCCTGACAGACCCCGAGAGATCCAAGGTAGGTGGCACCCTCGGACTTTGTGTGCCACGGCCTCTACTAAGTCCGGTGGGTCTGCCTCCTCCTCGTTAAGGCTGTTCGTTATGTTCTGGCCAAGCATAACAGGAACAAAACCCGACAGGCCGGCTATAGGAACCAATTTTTGCGGAATCGGATTTAACGCTGCGCTGACGGTTGGACGGCGCGCATCCACGCCAGGCTCTTCCGCAGTCCGTGGTGACATGATAGTCACCCCAGCATGGCGTACTGTGCAAAGCTTGTCCACCTCGAGAAGCTCCGCAAGGCCCAGGTCTGATTAATGCGACTGAAACGTCGTTGGCTTTACCATACAGACTCATCAGTCGCCAGTCGCCAACCGGAGCAAGCAGGATCGTCGTGGGTATTGTCAAGACACCATTGCATGATTCGAGGAGCCAAGATCAAACTTCTTCTCGTACACTGAAGTCGCCCAAGTCTATCCCTAAGTAAGAGCTCTGGTTAATACATCATCAGACCTACGCTCCATCCTTCCTCAGCCCGTCTCAGCAGAAAGTATACAAGATAAAAGTAAAAGCATGCCATTACAACCTGGACGTCATCTCCATCGGGATGTACGATCTCAACTTTTGCAGCTGAGCCTTATGCTTCGCCTTGACCATGCCCACAACCATCTCGTTCGCCGGCATGTCGACGCCAAGCCTCTTGCCCCGCTGGATGAAGTACCCATTCAGGTAGTCAATGTCCGTCAGCTGACCGCGTTCAATCTGCGTCACCATCTTGCTCGGCGAGCCCTTCTTGCCTCTCAGCCGACCGATGGTGTCCTTCCGCATGCCCTCCCCGCGAAGCGCCGCCTGCAGCATGGGCGACGCCCGTCTGAGCTCCGGCATGCGCTCCACGACGTTGGCGATTTCGTCCAGCAGCTGGCCGATGAGGCGGTTCGCCGTCGGGTTGAACAGGAGCTGCTCGTAGTGGCAGTCGAGTAGCACGCAGATGGGGTCGACGACGGAGGAGAACATGAGGGAGGGGATCTTGAGCGCGAGCCAGCTGTCGAGCGGCAGCCCGCGCGCCCGCAGGTCCGTGGCCGCCGCAAACTTGGACAGCATGCCCTGCGTGCGCAACCACTTCTCGCTTGAGGGGTCCAGCTGGGTGGTGGTGGTCCCTGCGCTCGCGGCCGAGATAGGGGCGGACCGAGGTCAGGGCCCGTCTCAAAATTGGGGTCCTGAGAGCGGACGGCGTCGCGGCGGCGGTCCATGGCGGAGGCGTGGCTCATGTGGCCGAGGACGATGGAAGGGCGAGTGTCGGATTCGTGAAGATCTCGTTG